TTTGGTAAGAGATGGAGTCTTGCTCTGCCGCCCAGGCTCTGGAGCGCAGTGGTGCAATCTTGGCTCACTGCAACCTCCACCTCTTGGGTTCTAGCATCTCCTGCTTCAGCCTTTTGAGTAGCTGGGACTACAGGTGCATGCCACCACCCCCAGCTAATGTTTTGTATTTCAGTAGAGATGGGGTTTCACCATGTTGCCCAGGTTAGCCTCGAACTCCTGAGTTCAGGCAGTCCACCCCCCTCATCCTCCCAAAGTGCTAGGATTATAGGTATGAGACCCTGCACCCAGCCTATTCATCATAGTTCTATATCTCTGCATATAATATGTATTTAAGTATAATATATGTTCATGGATTTACTCATACTTGTATTTGCACATACATGTGGCTATATACATATATGGACTATGCATTTTTAAAAATATATTTTAAAAGCTATTCTAGTTAAAATGTAAAAGCTATTCTAGTTAAAACAATCTATTTTAGTTTGTTTAAAAACAAACTCAGGAAAATAGTGACATTAAAGTCAGATGGCCAGTTATCCAATTACAAATTATTTTTTAAAAATACTGACTCACCCAAATTTTTACATCTAGAATATTTTTGTTAAGCCTTTTTATGCTTATCTATTCCATCTCGGTGAATTTATTGCACAAAACTTGCTTTTTAGAAAATATTTTAGAAAGTTACATGTAAATTAAACTGTCTTCTTTCTTATATTTCTTTCTGAAATCTATTGTGGGCTTTGCATTGGCAGGAACTCCTTAGACTTCTGTTTTAAGTTACTCTTTATGAAGAAATGTAGTGGAGGAGGTTGCTTTAAAGTAACTTAACTTTAAAGTAAAAGAATACTGTTTTTGGTGAAAATGACTGCCTGCCTCCCACATGAGCTCTTTTAATGTCTTAATTTTCGTCTTGGGGATATCCTTCAAACAAATATGTCTAAGATCTGTGGGTCCAATGTTATTTTACTTACTGTTCTTATCAGTCACACAAACTGAACCTGCCGAAGGGGCCAGGCAGGGCACATTACTGAGAAAAGCTGCCCAGTTGATAAATCCTTGGGCAGGCAGCATGTGTGTGTTGGGGACATAGCCACTTGGTGCCAAGTCCTTCTTGCCAAGCAGGCTACAACCCCAGTGTTGTCTGGTCTTTTTATTCTTCTAGAAAAGCTATATTGATTTTTTTTTTTTTTTTTTTTTTTTTTTTTTTTTTTTTTTTTTTTTTTTTTTTTTTTTTGAGACAGAGTCTCGCTCTATTGCCCAGGCTGGAGTGCAGTGACATGATCTCAGCTCACTGCAACTTCCACCTCCCGGGTTCAAACAGTTCTCCTGCCTCAGCCTCCCAAGTTGCTGGGACTACAGGTGCCCGCCACCATGCCCGGCTAATTTTTGTATTTTTAATAGAGACAGGGTTTCACCATGTTGGCCAGGCTGGTCTCAAATTCCTGACCTCAAGTGATCCACCCGCCTCAGCCTCCCAAAGTGCTGGGATTACAGACGTGAACCACCGCGCCCAGCCACCTATATTGATTTTTTTGTTAGAGTTTTCAACATGTTAGCTAAGATTTTCAAAAACATGATTTTAAAAATCACATGGGTCAAA